TTAACGTCGAAAATGATGTTCAAATCCGGACGCTCTTTTGATTTTAGCTTCTTGCTTCAAACTGGGAGCCGCTGAGCTGCTGCTCCTGACCTTTTTTACTTTTTGCATGCCAGACAACATTAAATGAGATACCTCAAACCAAAAGGGGTTAGCGGGCTACGCCCGCTAACCCCGATTAAGGCATCGCGACAACCAAAATGCGCTGAATTTGTATCGCAAAAACCTACTTTAGTTCACAAAAATTTGTAAAATATCACGACCCGACCCGAAACCCATTTTTCATTGCATTTCATTTTTTTGCGGCCGGGATTTGAGCGGCCGTGGAGTAACGCCCGGCTCGAAACCAGTTTACTTCAATGCTCGGCGGCGTGTGCGCGCCGCATAGCTCTCAATTTCCAATGGGTTCTCGGGCATCCAGGGGGTGAAAGCCACAATACGCGCGGGGGCGGAAGCCGGCGTACAAAACTGGATTCTCGGGTTCAACGAGTTGACGGTTTGGTTCGGGAGGTTGGTTATTAAACCATCGCGTTGCTAAAATCCTTCTCATTCCACCAGCTTTCTGCCGAAAATCTCTCGAACTTGCTTCACTGTTCATAACTTTTAGGTTTTTTAACTTCTAAAGGTCCTGAAATCCAAATTTTTGTCGGTATTTTTGCCATATGGCGCAGCCTAGACGAGCACCAGGCTCGCACTTTTTTGTTGTCCACTGGATCCACCCAGCCATCCCTCGCAAATCGGCTTACTCTTTCCCAAAACTTCACGGATTCCTGAATTCAAATCCGAATTTCGGTGATGATATTTGAGTGGCGAGAGCAGATCAAGAAATCAAATTCAAAAATGAGTAAGGTACACGCTGAATCGAATGGGCGCATTAATTGCAGGTCCAAATGGTCTTTGCTAGGATGCTACCTTTTGAACTTTTCTCCCTTTTCGTCTCGCGATTAACTGCAATTTTCGTAAATGTCCTCTGCTCCTTTCTCTTAAAAACCTTTACCTTTTTTCATCATGTTCGCTGCTAGTGCGCTCGGGTTTTAGCGTAAAAGCTTCATTATGGACTTCAACTTCACAAGTGTATTCTTAAATTTGAGACTTATAAATTTTAAATTTTCTATGTAATCAATAGCTTTTTACAATCCCAAATGATTGCTGCGAGCTCAAATTATCTCTGCTAGCCCACCCTTTCTCCACATCGTGCCAACCACGTGCTCGCTCCCAAACGCAAGCCTACATCTCTGCCATACTCTTCCCCAAATGATCTCTGCTAGCCTCTGCTAGCCAGCAGTCCCCTTTTTGTCACAGTCACATCTCCAATTTGTCGTGCTGTCTGGCCGGGATCACTTCGCAAAAATGGGCACCCGGCCGCCCTCGAGATAATTGCCGAATTGATGGGAATTCCCTCATTTTTTCTCGAAATCGTCGTCCCGTTTAGTCTTCGCGAAAAGAGCCATTGAAAGAGGAGGTCTCGATTTCTTCCCCTCCGCGCGGCTCCTTTTTCCGCTCTCGATCGAGCAGGGGGGGGACGGTTTTGTCGACTGTGTGGAATGCGCAGAGACAATTTATGGTGCTAGACACCTCTCGTCTCATCGCCCAACACCCCCGTCTCCATCATCGATTTTGCCATTGGAAATCGCCGCTAAAGCGTTAATTAACCTGGAATTGTTAACTTTACAGCTGTATCTAGCAATTTTAACGCGTCCCGCGCCTTTGTTCGCTGGTAAAAACGAAAAATCCATTTTTCCGAACTTTATCCAAGTTTTCAGTTATTCTAACGTTTTTCCTCCTCAATAAACTGTTGAAGAAGATGAAAAAGCTATCTAAGACCTTAGAACATCTTGAATTTTTAGTTGAGAACCCCAATTTTTGAACGAAAATTTAGTTATTTTTGTATCTTTTAAATAAAATCACGATTTGGTCAATAGCCGTTTCTGATCACCAGCCTTATTTACAGTTACATATCTATAAAATTCCGATACGTTCCAAATTCCACGGTTCTATTTGCTGGTGCTCATACATAAGTGGGTCAGCCGTTGCTGTTCTTTTTCACGCGTTTACTGGTCTCCGGCAAATTCCGGTACCGCTATGCTCCTCCAGTACCCCCCATACATTTTATGAGGATGCCCCAATGCATCACAATAGCAGTGATTTTTGATGAGTACCAGGGGAGGAAGAGGAATAAGAAGAGACCGACTTTTCTGAGAAACGAGTATTCCGTTTGACAACAAAAACAAGACCGTTCGTTTCTTGTTGTAAACGGGAAGGTTGTCCGAGCTTGTTCCACCTAAAAGTGCTTTCTGGCATCGGTGATTAGTCGGGATTTATGAACTTGTTATGGATAAGGGAGCTTTTGCTCCTTGAATGATGAGACCGTGTAACTCTAAAAGTAATGTGCCAGCTTCAAACAACTCTGCGTAAATGTTTTCCTCCCTCGCTCTCACCTTTTCTCTAGCTCATTCTCAATCTCGTGCTCACTCAGGGTCTTGCTCTCTCTCGCGGGTTCTCACTTTCTCTAGCTCCTTGAGTTTGTCACTGGGTCGGTCTTGCTCTCTCTCTTTCTCTCTCTCTCTCTCCATCTCTCTCTCTCTCTCTATCTCTCTCTCTTCCTCGCTCTCCTCTATCAAGCTCGCGTCTGTTTCTCTCCTCCATGCGCTTTAGCTTTTGCTACAGGCTCCTCAAAGGATCTTGATAGCCTGAGTTTTTCTAAACGATCTCTGCTAGTTTATCCTTTCCCAAATAACCTCTGCCAGCTTGCCCCCAATAACTTTCCTTGACGCCTACGTGCCATGGCGTCACTTTCGTGACCAAATATACAGCCATAGGCTCTCTTCGGGTGGCACTCGATAAACTGCGCGACGCGAGTCGGCGGTTTACACAGGTATCGGCTGACTGGTGGCAAAGGGCCCGCTCAGTGGCCAACACCTTGGGTCCCAGTTTACCCTCTTAGCTATTCCCATGTCCAACCCCTCGACTCGCGCTGGCCCCCGAATTCTCAAGTGCTAACAAAAAATTTGCCCAGGCTGGGCGCGCCACAGATTAACTCGTGTGCACCGTTGGAGTTAAACCGGGTGAACCCAATTTCATCGGCGTCATGCTCTTGCCTAAATATTTTCCTGCTTGCGAATTATTACGAGTTGGTTGATCCTGCAAGAATCTCTGCCCGCTCGCTCGGCTTGTATGTTTGCCATTGAAAACAAACTCTGCCGTTTTCCCTAGAACCTCTGCCACGCTTTTATTCATGATTCTTTGCTGAGTTGTCTTTCTTCGATCCCAGAGAAGCCCTGCTAGCTTGCCCTTCCTCAGAATTCCCTGCCAGCCTGTCATCATTTTCCCTAGCGCATCTGCAACATTTTTTCCCCTCAAAATCTCCGCTAGCTGGCCCTTCATCAGGATTCGTGGCTCTACTGCTTGCCTAAAAATCCCCCGGATAGTCTAGTTTCTAAGTTTCTAACAATTCCGTTTCTGCTAGCCTCGCCTTTCATGATAACTCCCAACAAATCTTCTACCGACTATCTATCAATCTATATCTCTATCTGCTGGCATCCCCTTCCCAAAGAATCCCAGCTAGCCCACTGATCTCCGATTTTTGTCATTATCAATTCCTAATCAATATTTTTCGTCTCGTTCCACCCGTTCGATTTCAGCCACCGATTTCCCGGTACAAGATTGACTCGGGTCGAGCCGTCAGCGCGTGCAATGTCCGCTCGCTTGAACGACTTGTTTATTTCATCGAGTGGCTAGACTTTACCCATCCCAACCTTGGGTTCAAACTGAAAAACACGGAATTTAGCACTCAATCCGTATGTCTGTAGTCTGACGGATATCTTGCTTAGCTGCTCAATAACAGATAGATAGGTTACTTTCCGTGCCATCCCTCATGCCATTTTTCTTTTTCGGCCGTTTTCGCCGAAATGTGCTACCAGATCAGTGCATGGAAAATGCCGTTTGATTTTTAGTAAAAAACGGGGCTTGAACTTTCCCTAAGCAAGTTTTTATTCCCAAGCAATTTTATCGCATTTCCTTCCAAAACTACAGGTCTTAATGGAGTGAATCGGGCTTGCTTTGGTGCTACCCATTGCATCACGATGTATTTTTATTACCCGTTACCATCAATAGAAATTCCCGGAACGTGGAGATCGAACTTTGATAGTAATCTCTCCAGAAAAAAACAGGGAAAAGTGGGGAAGAAAGAGACGGACTAGCATTCGCAAAGACACATTTCTGAGTAGGGAGTGGCTGGGAGGACGTAGAGAAGCTATTTTTTGATTTTCCGTCGTCCTTGGCTCTCTGGTCCTCTCTCTCTCTCTCTCTCTCTCTCTCTCTCTCCCTCTTCCTCGATATCTCGCTTTTTCATCTTCCCTGCTCGCTCTCTCTCTCTCTCTCTCTCTCTCTCTCTCCTCTCTCTTTCTCTCTTTCGTCCTCTACCTTCTCGATATCTCTAATATACGCAAAAACCGTACATGTCTACTTCTCAACACCTAGACCCCCCTTTCTCGCCGTTCTCAAATTGACCTTGGAGAAGCCCGTCAGTTGCCTGTCGGTTTGTCTATCATTACCCACTTCCTCAATCTGATTTCAACCAATCTTTATGTTTATAGTACCGTCGTGATCGTCTTGTTTTCCCACGGTTCCACTTTCAATTCCATCTCCAACTGATCGAGCAAGAGCTCTCGCCCCCATCAGCCCAAATAATCGAATCAGCTCCACGCCCCCGTGCGTAGTATCATTGTTTTTCGAATTATCGATTTTGGTTGGCGGATTGGTATTGGGAATACAGTGTAGTAAAGTACAGAAAAAACTTGCACGTTTTCCCAAACCATATGCCAGCGGCGTCTTGCCGATACGGGTATACTTCGCGATACTACCCTTTCCGGCTCTTCGGCTTCAAGTCTATGAGTGGTCGATGAAAATTCATACCGGATGTCCGTTCTTTGTTAATTTACCATTTACTAAATTTATTAAACGTTCCTAGACCTCCCCGATCCTATAAATTTCTCCTTTTTCAGATGGGCCTCTACGGCCCGTGGTCACCCTACGGGCAAACGGGTCGAATAACGCGGCGGCTATTCTATTTGGCAAATTTGTTAACGTTGGTAAGTATTTCTGACCGAAAAATTCTTTATTTTTAGTTTTTCTCCCTCGCGTGTTTATCCTACGGCGCATGGCTCGTCCACAATAGAAGTCAATATGCAGAATTATTGGAGCCATCGGTGAGTCTCACCACTCTTTCTCTCTCGCACGTTCTCTCTCTCTCTATCTCTCTCTCTCTCTTTCTCTCTCGTTCTAAAAAAACCATTCTAATCCGTAGCCACATCATTGGCTTTTGGGCGGCTTGACCTTGAAATCCTCAATCCAAGCAATCACAATAAGAGTTCCCCGTTTTTCGTTCGCAATTCGCGGTCTTTGAGAGTTGGAGGAAACAATGGGGGGTACTGACCATGAGAAGCTTCTCTTGACGAGATCAAACCAGGGCGAAAGGGGCGATCAAAATTGATTTGCGGGGTGCAATTTCGTGGAAACACCTGCGCGTTCGGTTGCCTACGTGTCAATATGGCATTGGGCGTTGACCACAAAATCAGGAAAATCTAAAGTATCAGCAACTTTTTCCTAAATGTTCTTAGCTATTTGTAGTAGTACGTTCTTTACAGTTATACGTGGACGTGGGCCGGATCATGATCGTTGTTTCGATCATCAGCATGATCCTCTCGGTCTACGCCGTCTACGCGCTCGTCAACGAGTTGAGATGTGGAATTTATTTCGTAAGTGCTTAACCATACCTCAAAATGTACAACAAACTTTTATAGTACGGCGTCGGCTCGATCGTCACGTTCCTGATGCTGTTCCTAGGCGGCATCATGGGATTCGTGTTTTGTAATAAAGTAAGGAAGTCGTGAAGATATCGGGGTGTTGATGGAAAAGGCTGTAGCGCACCGTAGAGTTGAGTATCCTACGTAGCTCACGACCGCGTATTGCAGCGTAGTTGCTTTTTGACTAGTTGCGTCGCGTCGCGTATCAAAGTGGAGGGGCGTCCCTTACCCTGCCTAGCGCAGCGTAGTTTTGCGTATCCTTGCGTAGCGCTACTCCTTTTCCTGCGAAATAAATCGATCAATTTTGCAGTTGACAGTCGAGATCCCGCTCGACCTCAAGATGTCGACCTCACTGCGGGAACTCTATGGGTCTCCGGAGATGCCGAAGGTCAAGGAGGCATGGGACGAGTTGCAGCTGAATGTGAGTTCAAGCGAACTTTTTATGGATACTTGAAGATGAGGCTTACAAAACCAACTAACCTAAAAACTAAAAATAATAAGAAAACAATAAAATTAAATAAAAATAGTATGCCATTTAGTTCCGCTGCTGTGGTGTCAACGGGACCGACGACTACAGTATGTGGCGGACATCAAAGTGGTATATGCACCAGAGGACGGAGAAGATCCCGGTCCCGCATTCATGGTGGGTTTCTTACCAGTTTTATCCATGGTTAACTTGCTGTCGCTGTGGCTTTGAAGTATGTCAAAATTCATGCAGTTGCTTCCCCGGACAATATGAAGCATGTATCCGGGAAGCCAATGGGGTCGGGGAGCCTCGTTTTCTCTACACCGACACCTGCTACGATCCCCTAAAAGCGGATCTGCTGAATGTGGTCGAGGTGGCGGCGTGGATGCTGGTTGTCAGCAGTTTCGTCCAGGTTAGTTGCTGTGATCAGGGCCGTAGCGATCCCCGATTTTTGGGGGGCAACTCAAAAAAATTGGGGCAACGATATCAAAACTATCAAAAACAGCGCCGCAGAGCGAAAATTTTGAAAACTTAGGGCCATGACAGTAAAAATAGTCTTAAAAAAGAAAAAAACTTAAAAAAGGGACGCAGGTAAAAATTTTCACGAAAAAAATCACAAGGGTCCCCCTTATGGTTTTCGGCCTTCGGCCGATTTTGGGGGAACCTGCCCCAGTTGCCCCTTCCTACGGGGCCTGGCTGTGATTACAAAATGATAGGGTTAAACAAAATGATAAGGGGCTGGGAAGTCAGATCCACGCCACAACTGTTAACGACGATCCTAAATCCTCGTGATGCTTTCAGGCTAGGCCATATTTTTATAGACTAGAATTTTTAACGACCTACTTTTACCCTAACAATTATGCCGCGTCCGCGAAACGCAACGCATATGTTATGTCGCACTAAACACGCGGTAGCGTGTTTAGCGTAGCTAGCGTGGGCGCCGCCAGTCGCGGGGATGGCAAACAAGTATAACCTATCGAAAGCCATAATCCATAATATCTTTAAAAGAAACTCCCGGTTTCCTTAGAAGGATAAGATTAGGCTTGACGCATTCATTAAAGGTCCTGGCAACCCGATTCCCAAAGAAACTTTGCTAGCCTTCTTGCTAGATCTTGCCCTCGAACTGCTGGGCTTATCGTAGCGATTAGTTTTCCGAGTGGAATTTTAACATTTCAGGGCGTCCCCGCCGTCTTGGCCATCTTCTACGCGCGACTGATCAAGAAATGAACGAGCCGTCCCTCGACATTGACTCCAATTTTCTAAATTAGCTCGATTGTTGCTGTAATTTTGTATAGAATCTACCTTTTTTGAATCCCTGAGCTTTACCCGACGGGTTGTAAACTGCCCTTAACGTTTTTTTATAATTTTCCCCCGTTGCTCAACGCCCCGAAACGGTTTCCGGTCATGTGTAGACAATTATCGAGCTTTACCCCTTTTTATATGTCATTTTATTCAGGTGTTTAGGTGGGATTTAATCGATTCAATTTTTAGGCTTAAAAAATCAAGAAGAATCCATTGAATCCCATTTTTTAATTACAAAAATATCCCGGTGAACCCTGCTGTTTTTTTTTGGTCATTTTCTGGTCTCCGAAAATTAGTCATCTCTATCTTTTCTTTTCGATTTTTAACAATTTTTAAACCGAAAATCTTTTTCCTGTTTATGCAAATTTTTTCTGTTTAACTAGTCTAATTAATTTCGACAGCATCCCCTCTTTTTTCAAATTCAAATTCTAAACCACTACCAAAGTCCTGAATTACTCCTTCAACCCTAGCTATTCCATTACTGTACTTTGTCTACCTTACCCTGCCGTACTCCGTACACCTACCGTACACTGACGTACTCCCGACATGTTGACGTGCCTTACCGTACCCTGCAATAGTCACCGTTTATTATTGTTCTATACGCTGTCCATGATAATAAACGAAATATCAGAATTGTGTTAATAACACCGAAAATGTCCCGAATTGCGCGAAGCGTGAAAAGGCAGTGGTGGAGAGTGCGTTTTAGCATGAAAGGGAAGCCCGCAATACAAAACAATACAGATAGAACAAGGTAAATAGAAACATGAATTAAGCCATCTAAAAAATTATTTAAACATTATGAGCGATAAATTACGATTTGAGGCAATGTTGAGAGGGGGAAAATGGCACACTCGGGATGGAGAGAAAAAGTACGTAATAAAATAAACAGGTTTGTCATCAAAATCTTTGTGGAATGATATTTGTGCCGCGGAAAAAGCGATGGCAGTTAGGAGGTTAGTTTTCAGGGCTGAAAGTTTGTATTTGAGATTAATCCATGAAAATCTCTATTCTTTTGTTTACCACCACCTCGTGCGTCATTAATTTATAAACTCTAAAGGAACCGTGAAGGCAAACGATGCATTTTTCTGAATATTATTGGGACAATTTGAGCAACATCAGAAATAATCTAACTTTATTCATTTTTGCCTTCATGATCCCTTTAAAATCGTATTTTCAATATAGCAGGTATTTTCTAGAAATCTGGAATCTAGCGCTCCAAAACCTACTTCAAGCACGGCATCACATCCGAGCCGTGGCTGCCCTGACTTTGGCTTGAGCCGGAGCGGTTGGCTTCATCTGGGGGAGACACTTGAGGTGGCTCCTCAGTAGAAACGGCAGGTTCAGTGATTTGTAGGGAAGGCACCTGAAAGCTTTTCATTTTTGAATTTTTACCCTATTACATCGCCCAGACACACTGTTTTTACCACCTAGTAATTAATTAGCCTGACAGACTTCCGAAAAGTCCAAGTATCGATAAAGCTTTCCAAAAAACAAGTTCAAAAACTTACCTGTAACTGAGGCGGAACCGGTGATGGCATCGTCCTGATCGGGAAGACAGATGACGGTTTGAGTTGTAGCTGGGCAGGTGCCTTGATCTGGATTGGGATTGGCGCTGGCTGAGCTTCAGCTGGCGGATGTGATGGTTGGCGAGGCGAGGTTGTCGTCAAGTTCAGCGGTGCGGGTCTTGGTGCCGGCTGGGTGACAAGTCGCACCAATGGTTGGGTTGGTCTTGAAGTGGAAGGACCGGATGGCGGTCTAAAGTATATGGGTCTTGGGCTCTGTGTTCGCCAAATATCCTCGAGGAGCCTTGTGGGCGTCTTGGCGAGGGGCCGGCGGGCCTGGGGGCATTTTTCCGGTATGCATAAAAGATAGTGCCCTCTCTCTCTCTCTCTCCCCCCCTCTCTCTCTCCCCTCATACCTTCCTCTTTTTTAGTGATCGCCAGACGCTATTTACTAATTACTTGAAGATCTACCTATTACTCGGCGCCTTCACATGTTGAGCCGGCGCTCTCGCATGGTTCATGCTCATCCGAATCGCCTGAGGTGGTGCTGGCCCGACGGCAAAGGTCGGAGGTTGTCGCTGCTGCTGGGCCCCGGCTTGATAATTCGGGAGGACACTAGCAAGGCTCAGCGGTGGGCCCATCAAGATTTGAGGTTGAGTTATTCGCTGGGCTTGAGGTGGAGTTATGATTGGGGCTGTCGGGAGGGGCGACGGCATTGGTGGGATCACGGGACGTTCTGGTGCTGGGGCCTGGAAGTTATTACGTAATAGTATTTAAAACCAGCAGTCCCCATCTCCGATCCCTCTCTCCTGTTCTCTCTCTCTCCTCTCTCACTCTCTCTCGCTCCCTCAACACCAATTCATTCTAATTTCCTCCAACTTGCCCCCCCTCCTAACTTTAATCCCCCTCTCTAACTACCCTTCTCTAACCCTCCCTTTATCCCTCTTTCTCTTCTTTCTCCTCTTCTCCCCCCTATCTCCCACCTGTTGCATACTCCCCATCAGCGACGGATCAGGCGGCGGCATCGGCGTCAACATAAACCCAGCCGGCACAGAAAATGCCTGCACATTCCATTGGTTTGTCGCCTTGTCGTGTATCGGCACAAATTGAGTGTTCGTCAACGGAGGTGCCACCGCCCCAGCAGCAGCCTGATGTTGTTGTACAGCCATCATCAACTGTTGTTGGAGTTCAGCCTGTTGAGTCCAAGAACCTCTGGACGAGGTTGGTGGCATTGTCGCTTGGGGTGGGCGGTGATGATTTTGTGGCTGGGCTCGCTGTTGCCGATGGGGAGGTTGATGACGTCCCGGTCCTGGGAAATTCGGCTTTTAAGGGGACTGGGAAACGTTAGGTTCTACTCTCTTGGCCTACTAGGTATCGACATTTTTCGAATTCCATAAATGCTAGTGAATGAGCAAAAAGAAAAGTTTTTGTTCACCTAAGGTTATATTCCGAGCAGTACTGTTTGCGCCATTTGTCTTTGTGCGGCTATAACGATACAAACAGGCAAGAGATAATATTATGCTTGTTCTAACTCTTTTGCAAGAACCGTTGAGTCGTTAGTTTAGCAATTACGCTAAACTACAGACTACAAACCTGACGGCACCGCAGCAGGTTGTCGTATTGGGCCCGGGACCGCAGTGATCGGTGGAGTACGATTGATGCCAGAAGGTCCGGGTGTTTGTTGCTTTGGTGCACTCGAATTTGAGTGTGCCGGCGGATTCTCATTTCTATGGACGGGCTTATTCTGTGGTAAGCCGGCGGCTGGCTGAACAGGCGCTTGTTGCATCGCTTGCCGACGAAGATGTTGGAGCTGCATTTGGGACATCTGAAAAAGATTCGGCTTGGTCGTTTCCTCCAGAATTCATGCTAGCTTGCCCTTCTTTTTATCGTAGTCGTAGATCCTTAGAGTACCATCCTTTACCTACCTGACTATTCGGGATGAACCCAGATGTGTGAGGTCGAATTTGAGGCAGCTGACTCGTCGTCGGCGTCGACGGTCCCGGAGTAGAGCTCGAGCTGTGTGGTTTGGGAGTCGGAGGCGTTGGAGGAGTCAGAGGTGCCAGCGGTACACTTCCGGGTGGTCGAATCGGATTGTCGACGGAATCACGACGTTCCGTATTCGGTGGGTCAACCTGGAAAAGTATAATTTTTAAGGTAACTTAATTTTTAAGTTACGTTCCAGGGCTTCATAGGGTTTTTCGATTTGATTGACTTGCATACTGACCTCCATTTTCTGCTCTTCATTTCCTTCCTTCTTCGCTCCCATCGGTTCAAGCGTACTTGGTCCCTCCATAGGATCATCTTCATACGGCTCATCGTACGATTCTTGCGACAAGAGTGGAGCCGCGCCGTAATCACCGTCAGAATCGGAATCTTCTTCCATTTTCTGATCAGCCTGGATCGGTGTTGGAGCTTCAGATGTCGCGCTGCTACTTGTAGCTTTTTCCTGAAAAGATTGTGATAACTGTGGACCTAAAAAAAGATTGATTACCTCTTCCGGTTCCTCCTTTTTGACCTGAGCCTGGTAAAATTCGGCGATTTTTGCCTCCTTTGGTAGCATTTTAGCGACGTATTCGCGTGGGGCTAGAGGCGCGTCTTCTCTGCCTTCTCTTTTCACAAATTGATATACGAGCTTCAGCTCTTCCGATTTGTTGGCCCAGATTTTGTATCGAATCTGGAAAATATATATTTAATTGGATGGAACGAGAGACAGAGAGCGAGATAAAGCGTAAGAGAGCGCGGAGTGAGAGCGGGAGCAAGAGAGAGAGAGAGAGAGAGAGAGAGAGAGAGAGAGAGAGTGAAAACGGACGACTTTCAGAGAACCTGAGAGAACGGAACAGTGCAAAAATTCTTTACCTGTCCCACTGTAGCATCCGGCGATAGAATATTCGTCGTTCCGCAGCCCGTAATTAGGAGCGCAGCGTTGCCCTGGTCCTCTATTTGTAAGGGGACGGCCGCTTTTTGCTTGATGTCCGGCTGCGGTTTGCTGCTGGCCGGCTATAATTTAAGAGTTTTTCTTCAACGCCGGATTTACCGTCTCGGCTAGAACTTGAAACGCCGCCCCGTCATTCCCACAGATCAGCCCGCGCTTCAACAGATTTTGCGCAAAATTCGCGGCATTTCCATTGAGACTGGGCGGCTAAAACTAGCGGATTTAGCGTTAGAATTTGTAGCAACCAAGCGTTAATACATATCATTGAATTTCATATATTTTTAACCAGCCGGTACCAAGTTTTCCTGACAATGAATTAGGTGGCAATTTCAGGCAATATTTGTAGTTTTTAAAAGACACAGATCAGCATTTTTAAATTCAATTTTTCGAGCGCGCTAAAGGGCACACTTTTAAAAAATGGCAAAAATTTGTTCGCCCCATGCCTTTAAAACTCAGCGGAAGCGGAAGTCACGAAAAACTCACATTAC